TTCCAAATATAAACAAATCCAATAAAGATATACTTCTAACTAAAAATAAATTAAAACTTAGAATAATTCAACATGCTTAGATACGTCAATGACAGATAAACAATTATACTTACATAATTATTACTACTGACATCAAATTCTATAATAATATCAGCTTCAGACAAAATGTTAACCGCGCATGGTAAAATGTATTCAGGATAGTCACTACTAAGTTCAATGTCCGTCTCGTATCGTATTTCTTCAGTTGGTGTTTTTATCTACAATAAAATGTATATTAATATATGATTGAACCTATATTAAGAATCACCAACTATACCTATCTTGATACTTACTACAACTGAAATTAACACTGGCTTCTCATAATTATTCCGCAACGAAATGCAGAGTTTGTATTTGTTTGGAGGCACTTTGAATATAGGTATTTTTAACTAACATATAATTGTTTGTTAGTTAATATTCGCAATGTATATGTAGGCTATTTATATTTATTGTAATTGGAAATAACAATTATACACTTACTTTATTATTTGTATAAAAGTGCAAATATCCCCAATGACTATTAATATTAAATAGTATAAGTTAGTGGTATGGTAATACAATTATAACAAATATTCACTATAAATTACTTACCCAATCTCATTATCAGTATCTTCAACATGACTTTCATATGCAAAATGTGCTTTCAAATGACCTAATATAAATAATACAAAGGAATTAGTGGTGCATAATAATAGTGATATATAAAATTATACAATACCCTTACTTTTGTGCATGTAATAAACTTTTTCAAAAAACGCGTTTATATTTTTGTAATTATGGAAAGTATTGTTATATGTGTTATACCAACTTGCAGCAGTGTTGTACCATCTGGTATAATCCTCTGTTTCATACTGATAATTACATAGTGATTGCCATTGATTGGTATTGTCTAATTTGTGCATTGCTTGATCAGGACAACTATCCACAAGAATTTTAAACCATTCTATATCAAAATGCTCAAGTTTGTTTACATATTCATTAATAACATGAAATGCTTTCCGTTGCATATATGAATAATTAATATGCCTGATATCTTGTTTAGCATCTTTCTTTTTCCCCAAACCTACATGTGCTAGTAAACTCAAATACCAAGCATCATCATAAATCTCGTTTACTTTAATTGCTGTCTCAATATCAAACAGAGCCTTTTCACAATCTTTCATTTTTATATTTATCATTGCTCTATTACACAATGCCATATAATTTGTGGGATCAGCTTGTAATATTCGTGTATAGATGTTCAGTGCCTTTTCTAACTCATTATCTAAATATGTAGTTTTAGCTTTTTGAAGTAACTTATCAAGATTTGGTGCTGTTAATAATTTCCAGATTGAACTCCACATAGATTCAGAACCATACTTTTGCATTCTGTTCTTTCCTTTTTGTTTTTTAAGGTCTTCATGCTCAATTAATACTTTTGCATCCACATTGTCTCCAGAATTATTAGAATAATCTGTGTTTGCAATATAATGTTGAACATAACTGAATATGGTCTGCTGTGGCAAATAATACACTTTGTCCTTTTTAATTTCACTTCTGCAGTAAGGACACTCAAGATGGTTTAATGACAAAAGAGCTTTTGAGCTGATAATATGTTGACAACTGAGTTGATAAAAGTCACCAACAGCTTCACCAGTAATAGTACATGTTAGAACTTTTGCAATATAAGCAATTGGCTTTTTCTCAATGCTTTTCCCTTTCCCTTTGTCTTGTTGCTCTGTATGTTGAGCACTTGTCACTGTTTGATCTGGTGAGTACTGTAATATCATTTCTGATTCAACCTTTGATTTCACTTTTAGGTAATGGTACATGCTAACCAATCTTGGTATATATTTCTCATCACACCTAGAAATATCATCAGGAGTTGTAACAAACAATTCACTATTCTTCACTTCAAGACTCAGTAACACTTCAATGGATTTGAATTGAACAGATTCAGTGATGGCATTATTCAATGAGTCTAATGCTATGTAATAACAAATTGCTTGTGTGGTCACAGAAAATGTCTTCTGTACAAGTTGCTGGACAATATCCAAAATGCCAAACCAGAGCTCATCACTGACATCTTGATTCTCTGCTGCACTTTCAGTAGCATAACATAAACTGATATGATACCAGAGATATTCAAGAAGCACTCTTTCTTTGAAGCTTGCTGAAATGACAGACTCTTGCTCACACCATTTGTCAAGACTATCTTGTAAGATCATAAGCTGTCTCCAGGTTGTATACCAAGGCTTGTTTGAGGGTTCAACATAAAAGGCTTCTTTGAAATACTTCCAAGATCTTTCTATCTTGAAATTATCAAGAGGAATTGCAACTCCTGTAATTAATTTAATACTGACTTTAGCTAATCTAGGAATGGCAACAATAACAAGTAAACCTTTTAATGCTGTAATAGCCTGATCAACATTTGTCTGATACTGATCTTCAGCACTAGAAACCATATCTAATGTATTCTTAATGAGTTTGAGAAGAAATCTATTATTGTAGTTGCATTTAAAGCCTTTGATGGTTTTGTCTGATTCATTAGACCCTGCAAGATTGGGTTTCCAAGTTTTTCCTCCATGTGCATTCTTGTACTTGAAGGCAGCTTGTCTAATACCATCAATAAAAGGACATGTAAATTGAAAATTTTTTTGACACATTAGTTCCAGTATTGTGATAATAATTCGTAATTGCCATTCCAATTTGATAGTTGCTTTTTCTGAAAACACTTCATCATACTCTTGAGAACACAGACTCTTCATAGTTGTATGTAACATATCCTCTGACACAGAACTGCCTCTATATTCGAGGATATATTTGAGCACATAAATATTCTCTGGATATTGCATGTCTGTTAATAATTCTTTTATTTGCGCATTCGCTGACATAAGCCCTTGTTCCATTAACTGAAGTATAATTTTAGGAAAACTGCTTTGATTCAAAGTCTTGCTTGCTGTTGATGTAGAAGAAGTCATAATAATAATAGACGCACTCGCAAAACTCAGCTTTCAGTTTCCTATAACAATGTTATAATAAGCAAAAAGTTTATACGTTTGCTTTCCTACAACGTCATACGCCACTGTCAGACGATTCACTGTTTATCGTTATTGGCTGAAATTCATTTCTGTGTTATTGTCATTTATTATTTGCATGCATGGTGTAACACGTAATTATTGTGGCATATTAATGACAGTCGGTTAAATAAAAGTTAGGTCCTCTTCAATCCTCCTTTACTAATAAAATGTACCCAAATTCTTATCCTCAAGAAAAAGTGCCGAAATTAAGTTTTACACTAATACTAATACCAATAGAACAAATTTCGTTTTACCACCACCAAAGTTTGGCAGGTCATGTGGCTACTATTGTGACACTACGCCTACCGACGATATCGCTTAGTATTAGTATTAGTGTTACTACACAGATTTCGTGGAACAAATCCAACACTAATAAATTTGTTTCGATACACCGGATTTAATAGTAATCTCTTAAAGCCATAATGGATGCTAACCAAAAAGCACTATATGCCAGTTCTATCAAAAATATACTTGATATAATAATAACGGATATAACATGTCTGTTATAAAAATATTTTTAATAGAACCAATTTATTTTTTTGCAATTAAACATAATTTGAGATTAGACTCGCACGTACCCAACAGTGGAGCACCTTGACCAATGTTATTCTGCACGTTTAATTATAAGAGAATTTGCATATGATACTGCTGATGACACTGATATTGGTTTAAGTACATTTTAAAAGTTATCATAATAATAAAGACAGTTTAATAATATTGCACGTACTACAAACCAATTAATAACAGTTCATGGCAACGGAAACTGCCGCATGGCGTAAAATAGTATCTAATACTCGCCGCTTATAGTAATACGTGCTACTTACCATAAAGTCCAAATCTCACATCACCGTTATTGCAAACTCCCCATTTTTTTCCGCAAATCTTGGAACGTGATTGGCTAACAGTTAATTTTCCATAAAAAGTAATAAAATTGAAATGCAAGTTTCCTGAAATGTCAACGCAAACCCCTGGCAAAATTCTCGATGTCGATCACCTGATTGTGCTTGTATCGAAGATTTTTTCAACATGCATAACTCCCTCAATTTCCATGCAAATAGCTTAATTTTTTTTCTTTTGTAGTGCTGAATCTAAAGTTTCAGAAAAAAACCATAAAAACATTGTCTGAAGTGCCACGAGCTGCAGAATTGTCAGATTTTGAGCGTGGAATGATTGTCGGTCTACACTTGGGGAAAAGGCATATGCAACAGGAGATAGTCAAACGTCAAAAGGAGTTATTCAAGGTGTAATTGACCGGTATATGGATGACGGCTGCATTAACGGCAACACAACGGTCTGGTAGGCCATCCAAACTGAGTAAACGAGATGAGCGGCAATTCGTAAGGGAAGTCGAGAAAGATAGGAGTATTACGCCTGAGCCGTTAACAGAGGCGTTTAACAAGTGTCTTACTATTTCAGTAAGCTCAAGAACTGTACAGCGTACTCTGCATAATTATGGATTTTATAGTAGGGTTGCAAATCAAAAGCCATTAGCAACTGAGAAAAATAAGAAGATACGTATAGGGTGGTGTAAGAGGATGAAGAATTGGAAGGAAGAATGGGATATGGTAGTTTTCGGCGATGAGTCAAGATATCTAATATTTAAAATGATGCTCATATGAGGTGTGATGAAAAGTATAAACAGGACTGCTTTGCACCAACTGTAAAGAACTCGGATGGGGTAATTAATGGTGTGTGGAGATGTTTCTGTAAAGACAAGATGGGGGCCAATAGAGCGTCTGTGGGATGAATTAGAAAGGAGGGTTAGGCGAAATAAGATCAAATACAAAGCGATGTAATCATTAAATTAGTCGATAGTATGCCTCGAAGAGTTAAAGATCAAAAGAGGGTGCTACTTCATATTAACTATGCAGTTTAAAAGAGCATTGTTATAGAGTTGATTGACTTAACTTCATCAATGTTTATTATGTGAGTGTTGAGAAAATTGGATTTGTAATAGCATAAGTATTTATTTTCCTCACGGACGATTCAAGGGCTGAACGTAATGCTGTGGAAATGTGTTGACCACAAGGTGTGTATATTCTTTTTCTAAAATTCAATAACAACTTGTTAATAAATTTTCGATTATTTTATAATGAATTAGGTTGAACTCAAATTCGATGAATAAGTTCTCCTGATATTTACATCTTTGTTCTTTATCTAATCGCTTATCCTTTTCGGATTGGAACTACACAGGGATCCGTTTTCTATGCACGTTTCACATTTTTCAATCGTTTTGGAGATGGCTCCATGATTTGAAACACCATATTAAGAAGGAGGATCGAGCATGTTGAATTATTCTAAGTTTTAATTTATTTTTAGTTAGAAGTATATCTTTATTGGATTTGTTTATATTTGGAA